ACTTGACAGAAGAAAAGATCTGCTAAGATCGGGTTCCAGATGAGTCATCATCATTGAAGGTATCTGGCAAGGAGTCTCACATAACCATGATCTTCGTTATCTTCCTTCTCAACCTCTACCGCAAATCCGAACGGCCACAGCGCAAAACGAACTGGGTTAGTGTAACTTTGCAGGACATCTCCCCAGGTTTACGCTTCTGATCGAGGACCTGTGTATTAGCATCAATCTGATCTGTGTGACGATCTGTATAATTGGGCTAATAAAGATGCCCTTTTTTGGGGTCAGGATTTCTTTTTAATTGCGTTAGGCAAACTTGTCCATTCACCATCTCTCCATTTCGCTAGAAGTCTCTTCTCTTTGTGAATATTTTTCTGACTTTACTGAAACGCGATTGTCCTGAATGCTGCCTTTTTTTTTTTAGCACAGATTTCTACAGAGCTAGGGTTTTTTTTCTCTCCTTCTTTACCAAAGCAACTCAAGCATTCTTTCATGTCCCTTCTTTCAAAGCATAACCTCTTTCTTGGCACGCTCTAAACGTTCAACTCATTTTTCTGTACGTTAAGACATTTAGTCATGTAAACCCCAGTTTCAACTTGAAGCAGCCTATGCTGAAATGGAGGTTCTTATCTTAATGAGAAAAAAAAACACACACACACCACGAGCTGATGCAACTTTCATTATTTCACATCTCCAGAAAAGCCATCGCTTCATGCTTTCTTTAGACAACCTAAAACTGAGTTTTATTTCTGCCATACCGAACAATTCTTTATTTATACCATTACACTTTATACTTTAAAACTACCCTTATTAAAGGCATGTATCCCAGGGGGAAAAAAAAAAGTCTCGGAAGAGTGTTAAATCAATGCCACTTGAAAATGCTTAAGTGGATATTTGGATTACCTGAACAATCCTAGTTGCTAAAGACTTCCATGTTTTCATCAAATAGGAGATATTATTCTAATGCTCATTGCAAGAGGATTGGGAAACAATGTAGGTCAAAGTCTCTTAAATTCAGACGGGAAAGCAAAACAGGATGCATAAAAAGAAACAGGTAGAGATAAATCTGAGGAGTAAATTAAAAGGTGGTATGTGTTTTCAGCATCTCTGATCTAGCACACCAGCGTTCCCCAGTCAGATCTCTTTGCCCTCCGTGGCTTTTTCTAATGTAGTTTTTGTCTGCTTACATTCGATGGTGGTACTCTCTCTGAGGAATTCTGGTAGTTGAAGTCCACAAGTCTTCAAAATGGCCAAGTTTGGACACCCCTGACCTAGATAGCCTAGGCTAGCTAGGGAATTCTGAGATGAGAAGTCAAGTACATTTAGAATAGTTAGAATATTTCTAAATATGCTAAACGTACTTGACTTCTCATCTCAGAATCCCCTAGCTGGCTGAAGCCTGAGCTATCTACATCAGGGGTCTCCACACTTGGCGACTTTGAAGACTTGTGGACTTCAACTCCCAGAATTCCTCAGCCACTGAGGAATTCTGGGAGTTGAAGTCTACAAGTCTTCAAAGTTGCCAAGCGTGGAGTCCCCCTGATCTTGATGGTACCAGATTAGAGGACATAAATTGATATCTGGATCATTTCTGATGTGCATGGCTTTTGGGGGCCAACATTATACTGAACACGAAGGGTCCTTGTGGGCTCTCTCCTTCGATTCCTGATTCCTTCCCCCTTATTGAATTTCCCACTGGTTTAATTTGTTTTTTGGGGGGCAGGGCACCTCTAGGCTCCAAAATCCATTTCTAATCTGGCCTCCAGTGAAGCATTTGCAACGTTTCCTATTCATGACTCTTCAGGTTAAAAGGAGATCTGAATTTTTTTTTTTTTTGTTATTCAAGTTGCTAAGGGAAGTAGAAAACATCCAGCATTTTAAAACAGTCCGAAGGAGCAAGAAACTCTTTCTCAACCGCCCCTCCCCCACACTTCCCCCCTCCCCCCCAATGGAATGTGTTCTTTTCATGGGTTTGCATGCAATATAACAAATATCACCTGAATACATCAGACTTCATTTAACACTATCTTATAAATAAGCTTATTCCTTCTATACCAGGCAAGTAAATTGCTATTATTATTATTATTTTTTGCAGTCCATAATTACATATATATCTATCTATATATATATATTTATATACACATACGGGAGAAAAACAAAAGGACCGATAAACGCAAGCAGCAAAACAACGCTGGACCAAAAAGAAGTCAGCCAGTGGTAAATAGAGAAGTTACGATCCAACTTTCCCTCTGCGGATTTCTAAACAACAGAAATAATGTATAAATATTTTTGGGGGGTGGGGGGGGACTTTAGAAAATTAAGAGAATAAATCAAAGAGGCTACTTGTCGTAAGGAACGACACACACTGTGGAATATCTCGCCAGCTGATGGCAGAAGAAAGAAACTAAACCACAAGGAACATCAATTTTGATTTGTTTTGAAAAGGTTCATGGGAAGGGGGAGAGGGAGGAAAACAAAAGCATATTTTTTTCTTTTTTCTTTTTCCCCAACAAATGCTAATTAACACATACTTCTGGTCTCTGGCCCTTGAAACCATCTGATCTTGCGTTGTGTCAGCTTCATCTATTCAACACTTTCTGCAAACGTTACACTTTCTCTTTGCAAAGGGTAACGTGACATTTTGATTCAACCAACACCGGAGCTCGGGGTGGTAAAAAAAAAACAAAACAAAAATATAATCTAATAACACTTTTAACATTTTGTAAACATAAACAGCAACCTAAAAAAGTCCCGAAATGCATATACTGTTTTCAAAATAATTACACACAAACGGTCAAAAGCTTCCTCTGTTGTTTCAACAGCAACAAGAGCCTATCTGGATTTCTTGCTGGGGGGGGGAAATAAAAATCAAGATTATAGCCAGAGAAAATGGGGGGGGGGAGGGAAGAGGAGGAAGTGAATCCAGAGCCCCCCCTTCACTGTCTTGTAAAACTCAAAATAAAACAAAAAGGCCCTTGTGTAATTTGAGGACCAGACTTAATACCATTTCCCTTTCAGCTACTCTGCCCCTACTCAGCCACTAATTTATGATGGGAGGACAGGGTGTTTACAGGTGATGGTGGCTCTGCCTTTGGACTTCTCTCTCTAGAGAGATGGAGCCTTATGGTCTCCCAAGAGTAGTTAGGAGAAAGGAATGTAGAGTAGGCTCTTTTTCATACAGCCTTACTTCCATCTCACATATGGAATAAGAACCGTAGAACGTAGAAGAGCAGTTGGGTGGAGAAGAATCCTAAATCATGGTCTGCTGGATTATGCCCTAAGACACGACACTTGTGAACATGGTCATGGTTGACTATAAGACACTCCTGGTCTTTATAACAAACCTCAAGAAAGTCCCCTGGTCATTCTGACCCTGATCTTCAAAGTCTCATCGGAGAATATGGTGGTCAGAGGAACCTTGAAAAGACCAGCAGAAGTTATCGGAAACCAAGCACAAGTCACTTGTTGATGTCATCTCAAAGCAACACCTGAAAAGGAAGGTCATTTGCCTTCTAGTACCATAAGAACTATGAAATCCTTGGTGATGTATAAGTTCAGAGACCACCAAGGACTCCACAGTTCAGTCCTGAGCTACATACATGCTCTTCTAACCATAGGTACCGCAAGAAGCCAGAACCCCCCTAGCTAGCTATTATTAGGAGTAGTGACAAGCAGCAGAGATGGTCTCCTGCGTCAATTCAAGACTGACCATGCTTTTCTGTTGCCTGAACACCGCAAATTCCCACAGACCGTCTAATCCAGGGGTCTTCAGACTTGGCTCTTTTATGACTTGTGGACTTCAACTCCCAGAATTCCTTAGCCAGCATGCCTGGCTGAGGAATTCTGGGAGCTGAAGTCCACAAGTCATAAAAGGGCCAAGTTTGAAGACCCCTAAAGATAACAGAGTACATTTGTTCTCATGGTTTAAATAAGTTTGAAAATGACCTAACTTATAAAGGTGCCCATTAAAAAATAAATGGAACTAATAAAAGTTTGGACATTGTAGCTTTGTTGATGAGCAACATGAACCCTTTCCTCATCACTAGTACTGAGTGATGAGTAGTAAAATAGTAGCAGGCTACATGAATGCAATCAAGTAAAAAAAAAAAATCCTTCCCTGGTTCCATCACCCCCTTCCTTTCTGGCAGCACATTCAGTCAAATAAGAAGTTTTGAATTACCCAAGAGGTAGCAACTATTTTTGTATTTCTGAAATCCAGAATTGCTCCCCATGCTGACAGATGTGCATGACGTGAGCCAACCTGCGCAATAAACTAGGTGTCTAACCACTTGTTCAAAGTCTGTTTTCCAATATCACAAAGGAAAGCTTGCTTCGGTGGCCTCCCTTAGGAAACTGGTTTTAAACACAGCTCATCACAGGGGGCTTTGTACGAACCAATGTGTACGTTCAACTACCCATTCCCACCATCAGAATCCCACCCACCTCTTAATGTCCATCAGTCAAAAGTTCTCCAGCGTTTTGCTTAGAGAGCATCTACACTCAAGGAGGCACCGTGAAATTCTCCTTGAACATAAGAGGTCTTCACACATGACCATGGAGAACTTCTCACAAACTTCTGAGGACAATTGTCATGTACACTTCTGGGAGCGGACTAGTTCCACGCACCCTTTCATGTCTTCTCTGAATACATGAAGAGTTTCTGTGAAGATTCCCATAAGGATAACTATGGCTGTTTTCTTATCTCTCTGTGTGTGTGTTGAACAAGCCAGTTCTTTCAAAAATAATAAAAGCCACAAGTTATTAAAGTTAAGTGATACAGTTCCACATAATATAAATAATATTAGGTTATTATTATCATCACCCTTAATTTTTTTTAGTGTTTTTCATACAAGTTCTAAAATAGTTTTAGCAGAATATTAATTATGATAGCAACCATACTAACATGAATAAGGACAACACCGATCTTTCCCCTAGAGGCCACAACACGCTTCCTTCATGTGGGAGAGCTCCCCAAGAGCTGGGGAGAGAGAGAGAAGTCCATTTCATGTCTGGTAGAAGTGATGATAATGGTGATGGTGCTCGTGATGGTGGTGGTGCTCGTGTCTCTGGATCATCTGCCCAACTTGACCTTCGTATAAGATGACCGCAGGCAGATCTCTGACGTGTTCTTTCTCCACAACGGTCCCAGGAGCTTGGAAACTTTTGCACAACTGATGGGTCTCTTTGGCCCTCTGCTTATGTTTCTTGTAAGTCTGCTGAGACTGCATGGGGTGGTAAGGTACGTTCTGACCTATCCGTGGGGTAGGAGAAGCCATGGGAATTGGCGCTCCTTGGATGGGTTTACTTCTCATGGCCCTCCCGGTGTGTACAGAAGCAGTATTTTTGCTCTGAGTCTTGGGAGACTTCACAAAATGTCTGCTAGCCTCTTGACTCCGCAGCCTCTGCTGAATTTCTGCCAGCTTTGCGTATGAAGCTTCCATTAGGTTGATCTGGACAGGGTCTACCACAGGTGACCTCCGCTGGTGGGCGTGGAAGACCTCGGGCTCATGTGAACGGGACCTTGTTTGATTGGCAACCCGAACAGTTGGATTGTGCTTCTGAGCTATTGCACCTCTCGGATTCTTTGTTGTTTTCTAGTAAAGTTTTAACGTCCCGTGGACTCGTTGACTAAATTACCTGTAACCGCCGATGGAATTACTGAAGACGACACTTATATTGTTAAAATCGTAATAATTTCTGTCTATTTAACCCAAGTAAATCAGGAACAATACCTGAATTGACCCTTCTACATCTGGGTTTCTCCATACGGGAGACAAAATACTAGATGTCTAACAATCACTTCTAGACCGAGTCACAGGGTAGTTTAATAGAAAAGAAAAAGATGGGTCTACTGCATGAAATATAAACATTCTGATCAAGGGCAAGTTAAAAAGTGCTTGGATTAACTAACTTCATTTAAATACATTTTGATTAGCATACCACACCACAGGTAATCCTCGACTTACAACTGGCCCTCACATTTACACCTCTTGCAGTATGTGTCATGCTGCTTCTAGTAACACTAAGAATTGAGTAGTGGTTCTCAAAAACTCAATAGTCCCCTTCTTCTGTTGATCCAAAGCTTGTTAAATATGCTAACTAGAAATCAGAGAAATGATAATCAAAGCTAGCAACCCTACATGGTAAACCAGACTAAGAAATCAATACCATATAGCTAAAAACTACTATTACTTTAACAGCACTGGCAACAGAATCTTGCCAATTTGAATGTGTTTCCCCCATCCTTCACTTTGGCGGCACGGTGGCTCAGTGGGTTAAGATGCTGGGCTTGTTGGTTGGAAAGCTGGCAGCCCAGGTTTGAGATCTGAGCGCACACATGACAGGGTGAGCTCCCGTCCTCGCCCCAGCTCCTGCAAACCTAGCAGTTCGAAAGCATGCAAATGCAAATAAATAGGTACCACTTCGGTGGGGAGGTAACAGCACTCCGTGACATCATGCTGGCCACATGACCATGTAAAAGTCTTTGGACAGCTGTCATATGTCTGATTAACGAAACACTAAAAAGGACTTTCAGGCATATTTTCTCCTAAAAGCATTTATTAATGTTACAGATATGTCAGCACAATATGGAGGAATGCTTAGATCTGCTTCTCTTCCGTACGGATGACATTCCAAACATTTCCACTCCCTTATTGTAGGGTCATGGTTCACATCTTCCAATCAACTTGGAAGATGTGATTTACTTCCGGTTTCTTTCTCCCGGGCTATCCTTATGCTCCTCCCTCTTTCCTGGTTGCTGGTTTAACTATATAAATACCAGACAGTTCTGCACATTGTCAAAGCAAGAATATACAGTATTTGCAGCNGAGGGGCTTGTCTGAGAAGTTTCCTCAGATTTTTGGACTGGGATCAAACCCCGTTTATCTAACCTTTGCCTTCACAGTGTCTGTTCCTCCTGCCTTTCAAGACCATTCCCTGTGTCCTCTACAGGGCCCTTTCTGGAAAACAACAGGTAATCAGAGCTCTTCCAGGACCTTTGCTTCAAGTCTCAAAACACATCCTGATCTCTGAATATTCAGCATGACTCCCCCCTGTCCAAGTAAGCCAGATGGTCCCATTTCAAAAGATAGCAGGATCTGGAACGAATTGCATTGTATGGGGGCAACATACCTGGCCCAAACTTCGAAGTGTAGTTTTCTATTCCTGCAAGATCTAAATAGTGGTTCCTCCTTTCAATGTTTTCATCAACGCAGTGATGGTAGCACCCATTCGGTTCAGGCTTCGATTCGCCATGATGGTACCTATTCACAAATTACAGGATGCCGTTTAGTATCGTCGTATCATGTTAGCGAATGCCTTTAAAAACTAAGCTTTGTGCTTTTGGTATAAGAGGGAAACAGGAAAAGGCTAAGAAGTTTGAATAAGGGAAGCTTTTGGTTACCCAATTATCACTTACTTTGAAATTATAAACAATAAAGGCATTTTGAACACGGATGGGAAATTAAAATTTGGATATTAAGTGCAAATGCTATTAAGGTATGTTTTGGTTAGAAAAGTAATCTAATATTAAAACCTAATTATGGTAAAGAGAATGATTATCTGATACTGCATGTTTTAACAGCCGCGAGGATAGTATTTGCCCAATATTGGAAAAATGAGAATATACCATCTGACCAGACTATAATTACTAAAATCTTAGAGTGTGCAGAAATGGATAGATTAACATTGGAGATGAAAGAAAAAGATGATTCAGTTTATTTTATAACTTGGGATAAATTTTATCAATGGTTAGAGACACGTTAGAACAGTGGTGGCGAACCTATGGCATGGGTGCCAGAGGCGGCACTCAGAGCCCTCTCTGTGGGCACGCGCGTCGTCACCCCAGTCCTAGGCCTTCAGCTGGGTTTTATAAAACCTTTTCGCTTTAGGCCTCTGCCGCCATGTGCAAAAAAAAAAAAAAGGTTCAATCAGTCAATTTCAATTTCTCGCGAAAAAACAAAAGTTCTTGCAAAGTTGGAATTGATTGATTGAACTTTTTAGTCCCACCCAGTCTGCCATTACCACTGCAGCCATGCCCACCCAATTGGCCACGCCCACCCAATTGGCCGCACCCAGCCAATGGGCCACACCCACCCGGCACTCGACGATGCATAAGTGGGTTTGGGGTTGCAGTTTGGGCACTCGGTCTCTAAAAGGTTCGCCATCACTGCGTTAGAATTTGAAAAGGATCTAACATCTCAGAATAGATGATTGATTTCTAACCAAGTTCTAATTAATAGGTAGATGACATTGTTATTTTTAGTGATTTAGTGATTTTCATCTATGTTGATAGTTAGGATTTTCTGAGAGTTTATTATTCGTGTTTATTTAATAGATGAATTTATTTATTAACTGTTTGTAATATGGCTATAGTTAAGCTTATTTTAAGATATTCACTCATTATTATGATCCGGACAGTTGCTTGTTTGTTAAAATAGGTGATTGTACCTTTCTTTATTTTATCCTAAATTCCCTACTCAATAAACTCAATAAAATATTGTTTAAAAAAAGAAAAAAAAGAAAAGTAATCTAAAACTGATATTATTGATATTATGAGAAAAATGTAACAAAGATGTTGATATTCAGTTGTATATTTACTAATAACAATAAGAATGGTATTTGCCTAGTGTGGGGAAAGAGGTACTACTGGAAGAAGAGAGGAAACTGGTGACATGGATGGCATAGAAGTTTAATCAATCAATACATTTGAAGAACTACAGCCTTCAGAGATGGTTTAGATTTCAGAGAGAAAATGCCCTCCAAATCCCCTGAATTTTATTTTTATTTTTTTAAGGACTTTAAATTGAAAAGCTCAACAGGTGACAAGGGCGAAAGACCAGGTCCACACATGAAGATCCAATTAAACAGATTTATTGCTAAGAACCTATGCACAGGACTCTTCTCAACTAATGGTTAGCCTGTGCTTGGAATTAGATATGGGTCCACAGAATTCAAGGAGGTTGGACTCACTTCATTTGTGTCTATGTAGGGATTTTAGGCTGATGCCTCTTTTAACTCCACCCCCGGGTTCTGCCATTCATTCTCCTACAACAGGAGACAGCAGATAGTTATCTTAGTTTGGGCTGAGCAGCAAAGAAGGTCAGGTTTGGTCAATCCTTGAATGAGAAACCACCAGAGAAGTCCTTTACTGCAAAATGTTTGCAGCCTGGCTACTTTGCAGAACTTTGCAATTGTTGGTGTTCGTTTTTGCTGGTCTTTTAAAATTAAAATTCTAACATTTCAATTCATTTCACGCAACAAGAAGGACATTTAGCGGTGATGCCCATTCTTCCTTGATTTGTGGGGAGTTGGAGACAGTTTTATTTTCCATCAAATGGGTTAAGGCTAAAACAGATATCAACATCAATAATTGAACATCAATAAACAGATATGAACATCAATAATTTAATTTGACAGGTTCAATCCCTCCTTGTTCCAAGCTTCTGAACCGTGACATGTTAATATGGGACCATCCTTGTTAATGTGGGACATCCTATGGGGGGAACATAACTTGGGCACAGCATTGTTTGAAAGGGCCCCCTCCTTCCAGAAGTGCTAAACTGAATGCTTAAATCCAGGGCTATCTAGGATGACATTTCTCCAGAGAGAGACAAAACATTTTGCTCCAGTTTACCTGAGGGAACCCCTTGGCTTCTTGTCACAACTTCTTGCTTCTTCACCAGCTTTGCTCTCTACTCGATGCCTTGAGCTTTGAAGATCTGCTTCCACAACACACACACACACACACACACACACACACACACACAGAGAGAGAGAGAGAGAGAGAGAGAGAGAGAGAGAGAGAGAGAGAGAGAGAGAGAGAGAGAGAGAGAGAGATGGTTACTTCCTCTCTTCTTATTGATTTTCTGGCACAGTCCAACTAAAAAGGGCACATCTCTTCTTGGTGAAAAATAGGTAGACAGATTCATTTCTTTGCATCCAGCCTCAAAGGCAGGAAAAGATTCAGCACACCTCTTGAAAATATTCTCCAATTTTAGAGGAGAAAAAAAATGGTTGACTGAAATGAAGAAGTGGAAGCAGGAAAGATGTTCAAAGCAACTTTGGCCAGAGAAAGCAAGAAAATAAAAGCTAATATTTTCAACCGGACCGACTGGGGTGGAGAACTCAGTCCATTTCACTAAGGAAACTTTGCAATGTACTATTTCCTTGAAAGGTTGCAATTCCACATCGCATTAAGCCAGGATTGATCAATCCATGGTTTCCTTCAATGCACCATTATGTTTTAGCTTGTAAAAAGGTACGTTGATTTAAATCCAAAACAAACAGATTTTATTATGGCTTGGTGTAACAGGCAAACACAGCTTAAGAGTCTCTCCCAGTCTAAGGAATATCTTATGATAGTTTAGTTGGAGAAGGAAGAAAGACCCAAATCAAATCTTACCCGCGTGATTCAGCATGATGCTTCTCTTCTTCTGGCTCCCGTCTGGAGCAACAGTCAGCTTAACCCTCAAGGTTTTACTAGAGGTGGGTGAATGATTTACAGAAGCATCCACAACTTCATAGATGGTATGAAGCAGGCTTGTAATATCCTAGAAAGAGAATAAAATACATGTGTAAACACCAGTAATGATAGTGTTTACTCTGCCAGTAGTCACATTTTCTTATTTCCTTTACAAAAAGAGTAATTCTTACCAACAGTCTGAAATCCCACAATTACAATTCAAAGAGCTATGAATATCACAGGAGCTCAAACCAAGGTGGGTTTCCAGGAAGGCAGAGGATAGACTATTGTAAAATTACAATTATGGAGCAATTGTGTAAAGATTCTGGCTCAGTTAATTTGCACCCAAACTGTTTAAGCTATCAGGATATAAGACACTTCTCAAGTGAAGGAAACATATTCATATCCTCAATATGCATTCACTTCCTTACAAGCATCAATCATACCTGTTAATGCACTTTTACTAAATGATGGAACAACTAACCAACGAAGAACTATTATTATTATTATTATTATTATTATTATTATTATTATTATTATTATTATTATTATTATTATTATTATTATTATTATTATTATTATTATTATTATTATTATTATTACAAAAAATCAGGCATCTGCGAGTTTAGGTTAAATGTTTTCCAAAAATTCCACTCTGGTCTAATTCACTTCGTCTGCATCAGCTGAATATCTAACTAATTGACAGAGGGAGAGACTAGATAACCAGCTCTCAACACAATCGTATTCCTGATGGCTTGATCTCCCATTCCCAAACAGACACATTCCCACAACATGTCTATTGTCCCCTTCTCTTCTTTTGGTTTGGATCACACAACAACTGTGGTTTAGAAGGTGGTAGATGCTATCAATGATAAGTCCTGGGTCATATTTCAGCGTCATGTCAAGGTCAGCTAACGCCAGTCAGCAAATCATGGTCAAGATCACCATAGCTTTGATGGAGGTAGGAGTTCAGTCATATTCAAAGTCATTCTTTTCAAATTCGGATAGTCCTTGACTTACAGCCATTCATTTAGTGAACATTTGAAGTTACAACAGCATCTTCCTTGGCCGCTGCTGTGTATATATGACGGTTCCAACGTCCTGGGGTCACATGATTCCCTATTGCCGTGGTGGCACGCATAACCCTCTCTGTGGGCACATGCGCCGTCGCCCCAGTCCTAGGCCTTCAGCTGGGTTTTATAAAACCTTTTCGCTTTAGGCCTCCGCTGCCGTGTGCAAAAAAAAAAAATGTTCCATCAATCAATCAATTTTAACTTCTCGCGGGAAAAAAAAAGATCTCGCAAAGTTGGAATTGGTTGATTGAACTTTTTAGTCCCACCCAGTCTGCCATTACCACCGCAGCCACGTCCACCCAATGGGCCACGCCCACCCAATTGGCCACACCCACCCAATGGACCATACCCACCCGATGGGCCATGTCCACCCGGGTTTTGGGTTACAGTTTGGGCACTCGGTCTCTAAAAGGTTCGCCATCACTGCCCTATTGCAACCTTCTGATAAGCAAAGTCAATAATAATAATAATAATAATAATAATAATAATAATAATAATAATAATAATAATAAAGTTGGAAGGGACCTTGGAGGTCATCTAGTCCAACCCCCTGCTCAAGCAGGAAACCCTATATCATTTCGGACAAATGGCTGTCCAGTTTCTTCTTAAAAACTTCCAGTGTTGGAGTATTCACCACTTCTGGAGGCAGGTTGTTCCACTGGTGAATTGTTCTCACTGTCAGGAAGTTTCTCCTTAGTTCTAGGTTGCTTCTCTCCTTGATCAGTTAAGAAGCTAGATTCATTTAACAACCGTGTCACCAACTGGAGTGACTCAATTAACATCTATGGCAAGAAAGGTCTCATAAAATGGGGAAAAACTCACTTAACAACAACAGAAATTTGGGGGCTCAATCGTGGCCGTAAGTTGAGAATGACCTATATTCATGCAGTGCAAGAAAGCGGTGACTATATTGTTACTGTTGTAGTCCAGTAGTCGAGAGAAAAGCATGTTCCATACATCATCCAGGTAATTTTAACAGGGAGCAAGTCTCTGCAGACAACTTTGCCGATGAAAGAGGGGTATAAATAACCCCAAGTTTCTTCTGCATTAAATCAGGATGGGTTCTTTTGCTTCACAACTGCCAAAAGTTGGCAGCAGGGTTTGAAGTAGGCGAGGTTCAGAAATAGTCTGCAATCCCTAAAGAAGGCTTAACATATTTTATAAAGAAAAGAAAGAAGAAGAAAAAAGCCCAATCTCTACGCCATCCTCTCCAAGTAGAAAATTCGTGGCTCTCCTTCCTGGATAATGGTTATCCCTGTATTAAATGCTGCATTTGAATGCACTTGTTGTGAGTGTTCTAAGAAATCCTGGTCAATTAAAAAAAAAACCTGGTAGCCATCTAATCAAACCACCCTGGTTACCGTCCATGTGCAGTTCCCTGAAAAATACCGACACTTAACGTTTAAAAGCAAGTGGCTTTTTAAGATGTAAAACCTCTAAGCTTAATAAGGCGGGCTAATTAAAAGCCTCCCTGTGTTTCAAAAAACGCTGTGACTTGTAACTGAAGTGAAAAAATAATTCCAGATATACATGAAGTCCCTTCTAATGTAATTATAGTTTTGCACCAACGTTCTGCATTCATCTATCCCAGAGACATATTTCTTCAGTCTTGACTTCAAACGCAACAGCTGGATAGTCTCTCTCTTTCTTATCTAAAGCCGTTTGATAGCTTAAACCCATAAAAATAAAAATAAAAATCTTGAATGTGGGGGGGGGGACACAGAAATGAGTCTATTCTCTTTCTATATTCATTTCTCCTTTCTTTTACATCCTCTTGGTATCTCTCTCCACCTCTTCAGAAGCTCTATTAACACAGACCTCCTCAAGCAAGGCCTTAAAGCTATAGGGCATCCACTAAGTTATTCACAACACTCAGCCTCCGTAATAACCCATGGGCAACACAGTTCTCTCTGAAATGCCAGTTTTGCTCTCTAATTCACCACATCAGAAATAACACACTTCGCACTTTGGCTAAGCTTCGCTGTTGTCCTAGCTGAAGAAATTTCCGTCCCCCCCCCCCCTCCGCCTTGCTGAATCCACAGGAATTCTGCATTCTCACCTTGTCATTGTGTGAATTGCCGGTATAACACACTACCAAAAATGAAATAGCCTACAGACAAAGTGGCAGAGAAACAAGTCCAGGAATAAACGGTATATTTGTTATTTCAAGTGCAAGGTTAAGCCCAGACTGATGGAAGAACCTGGAAATCTTGAGCAAAAAGCTTGGCCTGAAAATTTGATGCATTTTTACGGCTAGCGGGTGTTGTCACTTCCAAATCTATAAAGCATGTAAGCCTCAGCAAAATCTTACACTTTGCAAAGTCTTACTCTTTGCATCTTAGATCCCTCCTCGTGATAAATACGATTATCAGTCCAGCTGGAAAAAAAACACGTTCAAAGACCACGCTTGTTATTTTATTGGCTTGATTCTTACAGCAACTGGAGGAGCCAGGAAGAATTTCATATTTGTAAAGGGTGCTCTTGACACTCTGTTTTAAGGAATAATTTGTCCTTGTTTATCGCTTTCCAAATTCACACTTTTAAAATGTTCCTTAAACACACACACACACATACACGGACAGCGCTAATCCTTGACATTAAACAATGCCAACTGCGAAAACAAAACAGTAAAGAATTCCACTGCAAGGATTCTAAAAGCAGAACCGTGAAAAAGTTGGGTTTATATTGAATCAAATTGAATACTTTATATGGCCAAGTGTGATCAGACACACATGGAATTTGTCTCTGGTGCAGAAACTCTCAGTGTACGTGCAAAGCAACAGAAGAAGAAGAATCATCATAATCATAAAACCAATAAGAAGGGGGAATAAAGAAGATAGTAAGAAGGATAAATAATAATACAACCATAATACATATTGTTAATGTGTATTAATTAATTAGTTAATAGTAATAAATGTTCATTCAGGATTGCAAATTCAGGCAAGGATTTCAACGAACATGAACCAGTTCTGTGGTGGAGAGTTTGATCCACAGATCAAATTAATGCTAAAGGTAGATTTTCCATCTCATTGCCAACGCAATGCTATTCCAGATGAATCCTCCATATGATGATAGATATCAAACTATTACTACTTGGTATGCAGACATGCATTTGAGCAGGAAGTCTCCCACTTGGGATTAGCTGAAGAGAGAAAGATCTTTGAACTCACAACACTGTGGTACAGGGGTCACTTGTAGTTCCTATGAAAAATGTCCAAAATCTATAATCTCAAAAACATTCCATAAAACAGGGGTTTCCAAACTTGGCAACTTAAAGACCTGTGGCTGTGGAATTCTGGAAGTTGAAATCCATAAATCTTAAAAGTTGCCAAGTTTGGAGAACCTTGCTGTCAGGGATGAGTGAGCTGCACAGATTTATCTCAAAAACCTGCAGCAAATGAATCAGTGGCCCTAAAGAAAATCAATATGTAAAATTCATGCTCTCCTGAGCTAGAAATATATTGATTTGTTACATGTACAACCTACCTTTTTCTCAATTTTCTTTACCAATGTTTTTTTTACCGTGTGCGGTTTTTGTGTGTAACTTGGCTTACCTCACGGGTGACTCTGCCATTGTTGTCAAAATCATAGAGGGTGAAGGTCCATTCTTGCCTGTTGTCTTCCTCAACAGACACATCACACTGCAATTCCTAAGGAACACACAATCGTGAACGTGCATACGGTTAACCAAATCAAAAAGGCTAGTTGTTATCTAAAACATGCTTTGTTTGAAGATGCTTTTCCAAGGGAAAAATCTCTAAAGTTCCCTTTTTTAGCAGAGATAGTTGAGAAAGTGATTAGGCTGTGACTTCAAAGGGCCCTGCAAGAAACAGATAATCTAGACTCTTTCATTAGGCTGTCCTTGAAGACTATTCAAAGCATAGCTCTGAGAGCTATGGTCATGCCTGTTGATTATTGATGGATCCATGACTGGTGTGGTTACAATGATCCTTGCTTCCTTTAATCTCTCAGAGACTTTTGATACCATCAGTTTTGGTATCCTTCTGGACTGCCTATGGAGACGAAGAGGAGATGGACATTTTAAATGGTGGTGGTTCTCCTCCTTTATGTGTGGTCAGTTCTCCTCCTTTATGTGTGCCAGATGTGGACAGATCAATCCAAAGCCCCATAGAACTAGACACTCCCACTTGTTTAACCATCAGCATGAGCCAGTGACTGAAGTCATCAACCAGTTTGTAAGGTATCATCAGTGCTCCATTGTCTGTATTGTAATATAATAATATAATAATAATAATAATAATAACAAAGTTGGAAGGGACATTGGAGGTCACCTAGTCCAACCCCCTGCTCAGGCAGGAAACCCTATACCATTTCAGACAAATGGCTGTCCAGTCTCTTCTTAAAACTTATAGTATTGGAGCATTCACTGCTTCTGGAGGCAGGTTGTTCCACTGGCTAATTGTTCTAACTGTCAGAAATTTTCTCCTTAGTTCCAGGCTGCTTCTCTCCTTGGTAAGTTTCCATCCGTTGCTTCTTGTTCTGCCTTCAGGTGCTTTGGAGAATAGCTTGACTCCCTCTTCTTTGTGGCAACCCTTGAGATAGTGGAACATTGCTATCATGTCCCCCCTCATCCTTCTCTTCATTAAACTAGACATACCCAATAATTCCAGCAACCATTCCTTATATGTTTTAGCCTCCAGCCCCTTGATTATCTTTGTTGCTCTTCTCTGCACTCTTTCGAGAGTCTCAACATCTGTTTTACATCATGGTGACCAAAACTGGATGCAGTATTCCAAGCGTGGCCTTCCCAATATAATAAAATAATATAATCCCTCTCCCTGGTAGACCTACTGCACATAAATTATTGGGATGAAGACAATTATGTCTGCGAATGCATCATAAACCATTAAAAAATAGCAGTATATTATTTTGATATGTGATTCCTTGCAGCTCTAAGCAATATTAAAGATAACAATAGCACTTGAGACTTATGTACAGCTTCATAGTGCTTTACAGCCCTCTCTAAGCAGTTTACAGAGTGAGCATATTGCCCCCCAACAATCTGACTCCTCATTTTACCGACCTCGGAAGGATGGAAGGCTGAGTCAACCTTGAGCTGGTCAGGATCGAACTGCTGGCAGTGGTTTCCTTATCTAGTGGCCCACCAAAACTGTCAGTGACAATGCAATGATCTGTATTGACTGGGAAGCATACCTAGTTCTTACATAGTTAGAACTTGCTATCTTTGCTTCATCTTGCAACGAACACCTGAAGAACTTAGATTGGAATTAGGAAAGTTTGTTAAAGACATTGCCAAGGCAGAAAGTTGCAGCTATAACAAGACCAGTAACAAATGTTGGGACACTACTACACCAAGAAAGTTACAACTTAGAAGGACGCATTAGAAGGATGCTGGGTAAGGCCCATAGATATATAAACTCTGGTAACCCCTAGCTTATTATAATAGTAAAACCCACACCTCTTTTGATAAGAAAGCTTATTAGCATAAACATGCCATGTATGAAGAAGGAGGAGAATAAAGTAGAATAACCCAATCAAAAGAAACATGTGCTAAGGAACCAATGATTGATTCTTAGGGTGTTAACTTCCTTAATTATAACTGTATAAAATTTCTATTTGTGCATTGTTTGGGGTCTCCAGTCCTTTAGCTGCTGAGACGCTTTTGCTGGAGTATTCCAATAAAAGAAGCTGAAAATGTCATGCCTCATGTCTGCTGGTCTTTACTGGTTTCAGTGCCAGTCTGGGACCCATTTTGGAAACAACACGCCCGTTTTCACCAGTTAAAAATAAAGGCAAGGTAGAGACAGATTTTATTTTCCTGGGCTCCAAGATCACCTCAGATGGGGACTGCAGCCAAGATATTAAAAGACGCTTGCTCCTGGGGAGGAAAGCTATGGCAAATCTAGACAGCATACTAAAAAGCAGAGACATCACCCTGCCAACAAAAGTACGTTGGCAAGGCCATGGTTTTCCCAGTTGCAATGTATGGATGTGAAAGTTGGACCCTAAGAAAGGCTGAGCAACAAAGAATTGAGGCCTTTGAACTATGGTGCTGGAGAAGATTCCAGCGAGTCCCCTGGACTGCAAGGCGATCAAACCGGTCAGTCCTAGAGGAGATCGACCCTGACTGCTCTTTAGAAGGCCAGATCCTGAAGTTGAAACTCAAATACTTTGGCCACCTAATGAGAAGGAGGGACTCACTGGAGAAGAGCCTAATGCTGGGAAAGATTGAGGGCAATAGAAGAAGGGGATGACAGAGAATGAGGTGGCTGGATTGGAGTCACTGAAGCAGTAGGCGTGAACTTAAATGGACTCCAGAAGATGGTAGAGGACAGGAAGGCCTGGAGGAACATTGTCCATGGGGTCGTGATGGGTCGGACACGACTTCGCAATTAACAACAACAAAGAGATGCAGCATTCAAACTGAGATGTAAGTTACTCCTCTCCCTTCCACGTTTAATACAATATTCATTTCCTAAAATGTCTGGTCAAGACTACCAACCAGGTCATGCATTTTTACTTATTTGTTTTTATTTATTTTTAAATTTTATTGGCCACCCATATAAACAATACCTCTGGTTTTTATACCCCATAATTCCAGAAAGTGTCTTATAGATTTTTTTTTAATTGTTACAACTTCAAATAAGACGTGTCAGCTTCCTTTTTTCCTCTCCAAAACGGCAGTCATATTTAGGGGCGATGTGTCAGCTGTTCTCGGATTGGGCAAAAAGAAGATGTTGAATAGAGCTTTTTAACCTAATTCCCTTTCAGCTATGTTTCCTGCCGAGTTTGAAACATTTTCAGTTTCCTTAAGCACCCAGGAGAAAGTCTGTGAAAGGTACTTGCAAAACCGCTTAGAAATCGGAAGTCAGACTCTCCAGTTTGAGAACGAACAAGCTAATTAATCTAAAGAGAAAGCGGAAGAGATTTACAGCGTGAAACACGAACGTTGCTACAAACTGGTTCCCCCCAAATCTATCCATTGAAAAAACTCTTTTCACCCACGGATTTTAAAAGTATCCTTCTTGCTCATCCTCGCTTCTGGCCCGTGAAAAACACCACAACGTCCGAATCCAAACAACACCGCCCCCTCCGAGCTGCTTGATCGAATTCTGCACAAGTTGATTTAGATTGAAACCTTAAAAGGTTTTGAGGCCCAGAAATGCAAATAAGGCCTCTTGGTATGAAGTCTGTAAATCTAGGCTGTTAAGAGAATATACTTTAGGCAACACACTTTATGCAAAACCAAAGAATTTGAGGCTTCTGATCGATCATCCTTTCTGGCAATGACACGTTCAAAGATTCTCCTGATGTTGAGTCACTGGAGCCTGACATGAAATAAAACATATGCAGGAAGCCCTCAACTTACAACAATTCATTTAATGAGCGTTCGAAGTTTACCACGGCATTGAAAAAAGTGACTTATAACCAGTGGCGGGATTCAAATATGTGAACAACCGGTTCTCTGTGTGGATGCTGCTTCCAGAAGTCTGTTCTGGGCCTGGGCAACAAAAAAGTAGCTACCGGTTCTCCTGAACCGGTCCGAACCAGTCAAATCCCACCACTTATAACCATTTCCCCCATTTATGACCGTTGCAGCATCCCCAGGGTCACATGATCTAACATTCAGAAGCTTGGCAACTGACTCGTATTTATGATGGTCGCAGTGATCCCGGGCTCCTGTGATCCCCAATTGTGGCCTTCTGACAAGCAAAGTCAATGAGGAAGGAAGGATTCACTTAAGAACTGAGGCAGGAAAGGTTGTAAAATGGGGCAAAACCCACTTAACAAATGTCTTGCTTAACAACAGAAATGTTGGGATCGATTGTGGTCGTCACTGGAGAGCTACTTGCATTTAAAAAATAAAAATGGCCGAAGTCTGAGACATATCATGGAAATTATTTTCTTAGTTTGGGTTTTGACAGCGACGCCCGGCTGCCATTTTGGAACACTGTTTGGGGATGCCTGAGAAGAGCTAAAACTCAGTCTTGTATCCAAGAAGACAAGGACCAGCTCGAGTAAAGGACTGAACCGCTACTGTTGTTGAGTTAGTAAAATGGTTGCTAAGTGGCTTACTCACTGACTTTGCTTGTCAAAAAGTCGCAAAAGGGGATGGCATGGCCGTGGGACATGGCAACCGCCATAAAGATGAGTCAGTTGCCAAGCGTCCGGATTTTGATCACGTGACCATAGGGATGTGAAAAGCGGTCCTAAGTCGCATTTTTCAGAAGCCGTGGTAACTCTGAACGGTCACTAAATGGACTGCTGTACCTGGAGGACTGCCACGAAAGGATCATGAAAGGATGCCCGGATGTTTTTACCTGGCTAAGGTAAGAATTGAATGAGGGACTTTTCAGTTCAGTCTTGTGTTTCCAAGGAGGGCAAAACTGTTTGCACAACCAACTCCACTTTAATCCAACGCCTCGCCTTGACTTTACAGGACCCTCCTCACCTTACTTCTGTGGAACTGGCGTGATCGGAGTCAAGGGGAGCCAAGCAAGGCATGGGGGCAATTAAAAGAAAAGCGGTTGCACTCAAGGAAAATAAACAGTTCCAAATAGCTCTGGCAGGATGGAAGGCCTGAAATACCTCCTTGATCTGCTGACTTGAAACCAATTCCCTACAGCAGTTAACGGTAAAGCCCCCACTTCCCCTGCTGAGTTCAAAGGCAGCCGTCTCCTGCTTGTTACAGGCCCGGGCTTGAAAGCTGCCAAAAGACCCCTACACAGTTGTGGAAGTGGAGGTTCAGATTACACAAACATTCTCAGCGTCTTTAAAAGCCAAAGCGCAGCCACTGCCGCCTCCGATTTAGACCTCTTGACTGTCATATTTCAGACTCCTGGGTGCCTTGTCATAAAATGAAAGCCTCTCCTGTGTGCTCAGCCCGTCTGCTTGCGCCACTGAGGAGCTCTGATCTCAAATGCAAGCGGTACGTGTACATACTTATCTCTACACTTCCTAAAGGAGGAGACTCCTTGGACAACCCAGAGATAGAAATCAGCAACGTGCATCATTATGGTTGGCCAGACAGATGTTTAGGCTGGATTTGTCCTTTTTATCTACCTATCGTCCTTCCTGAGGACCTTCGATGGTGTTAAAGATAACGTTATAGGACGGAAGCTGATCCAAGTCAAGCTGCCTTTTGCAATTGACTGGTGAATTTGTCAGTGCCTTTCAGGATTGAACCAAGGCACCAATTATTATTAGCACTATCTTTGCTTTCTTTTGCCACATTCATTATACTTCTATTTGCAAGGGTTTATAGTTTGGGATTTTCTCCAGTTGTTTCTCTTCTGTTTTGTTGTTCCAAGTACTGCCAAGTCCATTAGCCAGAGTTTTTTTGTCTTTCTTATCCACAATTGTGAATAAGACGGATGGGAGGACAGGAAGGAGAGAGGGAGGAAGGAAGGAAGGAAGGAAGGAAGGAAGGAGAGGGAAGAAAGAAAGAAAGAAAGAAAGAAAGAAAGAAGGAAGGAAGGAAGGAAGGAAGGAAGGAAGGAAGGAAGGAAGGAAGGAAGGAAGGAAGGAAGGAAGGAAGGAGAGGGAAGAAGGAAGGAAGGAAGGAAGGAAGGAAGGAAGGAAGGAAGGAAGGAAGGAAGGAGAGGGAAGAAGGAAGAAAGGAGGGAAGGAGGGAAGGAGAGGGAAGCAGGAAGGAATCTTAAAGCCACTCAAATCATAGAAACCTCATTGACTGTGTTAGATATCAATGAAGCTACATGAAAAGTCCCTGTTTTCTCAAAGATGTCTCTCTGTTTGATTCACTAATTCTATTTTGAAAGACCAATCAAGGAGGCATGGGGGGGGGAGTAAAGATGAAAGCCTATTCTTTTGCAACTTCAGTTATCAGTCCTGGAACAATTTTGGCAAGATCACCACCAACTTCTGAAGACTCTTAATCTGTCCACTTAGCTGAATTTATATCAAGGAGGAAAATTAGATCACTTAGGTTCTTGTAATTGGCTCTGTTTACTCCCAGCACTATCTGTGTCTTTTAAAGCAACAACACACTGATCACCTTTGGCAAGAAGATAAGAAAACAGAAACTCAGAGAAAGAAGGGTAATGACAGCCAGCAGAGAAGACTCATTAATGCCAATACATGAGACATAAGAATAATATGTATAATAATATATTTAAATTTTGCCACAGTTGGCATCCCTGGTGTTTGGTTGGCACTTGAGAAAGTTCTGCTCATATGAGTTCATGGAACTTCATGGAACTGCTACACACACAAGAACACACCAAATAAAAGGTTTCCCTTGAACCAAGTTTTTTGATTCCTAGTGATTTCCTGGAATGAGCTTTGCGGGGTGTTTTGTTTTTTCCCCAATTTGTTGTTTTTTCCAGCTCCTCAGTCAAGTCTACACTCCTGGTGGTCCTGATCAAGTCTGATCCTGCCTAGCTTTTCCAGATCAGCTAAGGGCAGCCAGTGCTGCAAGCCAATTGGGCATGAATCTAGAGCTTAATTCACATCTGTAATTATTCCATGGGACATAACTGGGGAAACTTCACATAAACATGCATGCCCCAAGTGTTTAGGTAATAAAGATATTGAGAATCTAGAAAGAGTGCAGAGAAGCGCAACAAAGATGATCAGCGGACTGGAGGCTAAAATATACAAAGAACGGTTGCAGGAATTGGGTATGTCTAGTTTGATGAAGAGAAGGACAAGGGGTGACATGATAGCAGCCTTCCAATATCTCAATGATTGCCACAAAGAAGAGGGGGCCAACCTCTTCTCCAAAGCACCTGAAGGCAGAACAAGAAGCAATGGATGGAAACTAATCAAGGAGAGAAGCAACCTAGAACTAAGGAGAAATTTCCTGACAGTGAGAACAATTCATCAGTGGAACAACTTGCTTCCAGAAGCTGTGGGTGCTCCAACATTGGAAGTTTTTAAGAAGAGATTAGAGAATGATTTGTCCAGAATGGTAAGGGTCTCCTACTTGAGTAGGTGGTTTGATTAAAAGACCTCAAGGTCCCTTCCAGCTCTGTTATTCTTTCGGTTGCTCAAGATGCTTTTGTAAACAAAAGCTGGAATAATCTTCCTAGGAGTTGCAAAGTTTTTGAACTTTGAGAGCAGACTCTGCTTGCCCCATGGATCAACTTGGGTTCTTCAAAGGTCTGGTCTCCTAATTAAGTAAAGTCAATCAACCACCCTCAAGAAGCAGATTGAGATATGATGATATAACAACCTATCAATGGAGAGGTCTGCCCATCACCTGAACTAAGCTCTCCCTTGTACTAGTAGTTGCTGCCTCATTGTCAGTTTTGAAGTACGATTCAACTGCTAGCATGGTGGCCTCTTGTACGTACAGCAGGAGATGGAGGAAGAAAGCATGATTATTGGGTCACCTCCAATTCTTTCCAAATCTGTCCTTTTCCAGGATACGGATCTAGGCAATCACTTTGCAACCGCATACACACAATATAATCCTCCACAATATTTATTATGCGCTCCCAAATAGGGCAGAAAGCTAGCAGTTCTCTGAATTCTTGAAGCGTCTTCTGTCTTCCAGGAAAACAGGGCATGCATTGAAGGAGGCTTGTGAAATGTTTCAAAGACAAAACATTTCAAGACTCCAAATGCCGTTTCAAGTTCAAAAATGGGTTATTTCATCGTTTCTGGAAGCGTTCTGATGTTGTTCCAACTCTCCTGGAAGGGTTCCAAGCGCAAACCAGAGCTGTCTTGACCTCAGAACACTCTCCAAATGTTTGGAAGAAGACCAGCATCGCTGTTTTGAACGACGCTTGCATCTGCAAAACCACTAATGTGGAGCCGATTAGGAGTCAAATTGGATGGGAACGGCATCTTTTGAAGATCTCAGAGCAACTGGCTGCCCCTAACAAAAGGGCAACGTGCTTTTTTTACCTCAAATTTTAGCTGCTTCTTGGCATTTGTGCGGACATCAGTTTCCTTTTCGGCTTTCTTTTCATCACCGCTGCAAGCTCCGTCTGTCTTTTCTGGAGGCAGAGCAACTGGGAGTAAAAGAGAGAAGGCAGAGTTAAGGAGAACGCTCTAGATGTTGGGTTGAGTTTAGCTGTAGGGATGCACAAAATACCAGGTTTTGCCAAAAGTAAGACCTACCCTGAAAATAATCGGGGCTCCACGTTAAGACCTCCTCCAAAAAAGGCACCTGGGCCCCTCGTGGTTGCGGGACAGACCCACTATGAAGTAAAGCGTATTCTTTTTTTTTTTTAATTATAAATTTTTATTATTTTTCATTTAAAAAACAGAAACATAAATCTATTATCACAATATCAACCAAAGAGAATAAAACTAAACAAAACATTCACGGACATGTCCGGTGTCCCCCTCCTGCACCACCCTCTTCCACTTACCACTCCTTCCTCCTCCCATTCTACCACCACTCCTCCTTCCTCCCTCTTTCCTACTTCCCTTCCTCACTCAACCATCCCGTCTTGTGCAGTTGGGGTATCACCGGGCACCTCCTTAAAAAAATCATACATATAAATCTATAATACAAACCTACCCTTTTCCCCCCTCCCCCCCCCAGGACTTCCCAAAGCTAATCTAGGAAATAAACACACAATAATCCAAATCTATTCAAAATCACTCAAGTAAAGCGTATTCTTGACTCTAGAATTTTCAGAGGGAAATTGCAGTATCTAGTACAATGGAAGGAATACCTGTTATCCGAAGCCACCTGGGTGAAATCCAGTGAAGTAAAGGCTAATAGATTGGTCAAAAGGTTTCATGTGAAACACCCCAACAAACCGAAAGATAACCCTTAACAAATGCTTTGGGTTGCTTTACAGGATCTGTCCTTTTTTTAAGGGGGGGCGGATGTCAACGCTGCAAATACTGTATATTCTTGCTTTGACAATATGCAGAACTGTCTGGTATTTTTATAGTTAAATCAGGCAACAGTGAAAGCCCGGGGAAAAGAAACCGGAAGTAAATCACATCTTCAAAGTTAATTGGAAGATGTGAACCATGACCCCAAAATAGAGGCAGGGAAAAATGCTTGGAATGTATGTACAACAGAAAAGAATCTCAGATCTAAGCATTTCCACCATGCCGTACTGACGTCTCTGTAACCTTAATAAATGCTTTTAGGAAAAAATATGCCTGAAAGTCCTTTTAAGTGTTTCGTTAATCAGACACATGACACCCTTAGCTTGATTTTTGGGGGTGGGTCTAGTATAAGCCCTACCCCAAAAATAAGCCCTAGTTTGGGGGCGAGGCACACACTTAAAAATCAAGCTATGGCAGGGGTGAGGGTGGGAATCTGCCCCACACACACCACACCCACTTACCTTACAGCCAGGCTTCTCCTCGCCAGCCCACTACTTCTGCGGCGTCTTCTGCAGCCAGGCCTACATTTCTCAGTCACAGGCCTTCCGGAAAGGCACAACTGCAAAATGGAGGCCGGAATGCAGCTGCAGAATGAAGCTGCTCCTTCAGCCACAGAAGAAGTGGACCTGCTGGGCAGGGCTGTCAGTGCCGGAGGGGAATATAAAAGACACCCTCCAAAAATAAGACCTGATGCCTCTTTTGTAGGCAAAATAAAAATAAAAATAAGACCTGGTCTTATTTTCGGGGAAACACGGTAGCTCAACCTTGGTCAGAGTGCAAAAGAGACGTGTTGAGCATCCGAAGCATGAAACAAACCTTTTAGAGTTTTGTTCTAAGTCTGACATAGAGCCCATTTTTCCCAGCATGGAGCCCAGTTTAATTCTATTGAGGGATGCATTTTCCAGGGCAAACTGTTTGTACCTCAAAACATTCAGAATAGCTGCCCAGAGAGCTTTCTTCTGAACATGACATAGAATCTATTTGTGGTTTCATGCTTAATCATCTGGTGTGCCAGGGATCTCATTGTAAAACCGGTATTTGTCAACTATGTTAAATTTTGGCTTCATTTTCAACAACGTGGTACAACCATGAATTTTACATGGAGTTCTACTGAGAACAGTAGCTCCCTAACTTTGACATTCAAAATATAATTTGATTTAACAGGTTGCAATATCGACAAAGGACTCTACTCTCTATGGAAATGCCCTCCGGATGAAGAAAAACGAGCTTTTTTAAAAAAAATACACACAAAGGTAAAACAAAAGTGAATTTTAAAAAAGAAAAAAAGAGAGGAACTATTCAAGTATTCTCTACTAAGAGAATAGACTTGTTACAACTTGCAGGAACACATTAATTTCTCGTTCAAAGCCAACAGAAAGCATCAACCAGTCCACACATAAAACTAAATCAGATTTTTTTTTTAAAAAAAAAAATCTTAATGCCACAGTGCTTTGGTTTGCACATAGAACTACAGTAAAAGCCTCAATGACTAGCTTCACATATTACAGTAAATCCTTCAAACAAACAAGCTGCTTTATGGGTTAATGTTATGCATCAATACAAGTTATATTTTATCCTTCATCAGCCTTAAAAGTAAAGAATGTCCAAGATATTTATATGGTGCATGGGTCTTTTTGTTTCTTTTTGGGCCGGGAGACAGTCCCTTTTGCATAGTCTAAATAATAATAATAATAATAATAATAATAATAATAATAATAATAATAATAATAATAATAATAATAATAATAATGATGATGATGATGATGATGATGATGATGATGATGATGATGATGATGATGATGATGATGTTGGAAGGGACCTTGGAGGTCATCTAATCCAACCCCCTGCTCAGGCAGGAAACCCTACACCATTTCAGACAAATGGCTGTCCAATCTCTTCTTAAAACTTATAGTGTTGGAGCTTCTGGAGGAAAGATGTTCCACTGGCTAATTGTTCTAACTGTCAGGAAGTTTCTCCTTAGTTCTAGGTTGCTTCTCTCCTTGATTAGTTTCCATCCGTTGCTTCTTGCCCTGCCTTCAGGCGCTTTGGAGAATAGCTTGACTCCCTCTTCTTTGTGGCAATTCCTGAGATATTGGAACACTGCTATCCTGTCCCCCCTCGTCCTTCTCTTCATTAAACTAGACATACCCAATTCCAGCAACCGTTCCTTGTATGTTTTAGCCTCCAGTCCCCAAGCCTCCAGTATGTTGTTAATGTCTATGTGTCCCTTGATGGCTGATTTGTCAAGAGTGCCAGGCTTCTACAAATTCCCTGGCATCTTTATCAATTTTTTAGGCCAGTCACAACTACAGATACAGCTTTTCCATAAATGAAAAAAGGCATCACCATTTGTGGAATATAGATATATTTCTTTAAAGCCCCCTTCAAAAGCAGCCCAGATAACTTAAGATGGACAGCTATATGAATCTTTTAAATAAACACGTACATACGTAAATAAACAGGCTGCCTAGGATGAAAGATCACTGCATCAGTCAAACTGCTCATTCTTTGGAGTAGATAGGATAGCGGGAAAATATCAAAGGATAGCATTTTTGGCTTGAGGCAAACAAATTTTGTTTTAACACGTGTTTAACTGAAATACAGAAAATTTAAGTGCTTTTAGGCTATATGCCCTTCAGCGATCTGTTTCTATGCATATGAAGCAGCACAGGACAATTAAAGGGATCTGCTCACATCTCTCTCACACACACACAACAGAAAAGCAATGCCCTGAAAGCATCTATAAAGAAAAATGCAAACCATGGCCAGGAAGAGTTAAGATTGGCAGCGCAACAATCCAAGAAAAACCACAAGGCAAAATGCGAAGAGTTCAGCTCAGTGCCATGTGATCTTCCACCCAAAACCTTGCCAACAATATTACATTTGTCTAGGCGAGATTGCTATCTTAAATAAAAGGGAGATCATCAAGGATCCTAACTGTCAACTCAAGAGCAGTTCGAAACAGATCCGTGGGCAAGATCACTTCTGGAAAAAGATCTTTCTCCCCCCCCCCCAGGCACGTGCACACAATGAACACAAATGTATTTGGGAGACCAAACAACTCAGGTCTGCAATTGGGAAAAAATTGCATAATTTTGATACTTATGGGAATAACTATGCATTAGATGAACCATTAGAAGGGAATGTCTAGGTCAGAATTGAACTGTGGGCTCCTTGGTGCTCTCTGAGCTTTGTGGTTTGCTTGCAGACATTTCATTACCCAACTAGGTAACATCATCAGTGCTGTACTGATCATCATCATCATCAAGCACTGATGTTAGAATAGAATAGAGCTGGAAGGGACCTTGGAGGTCTTCTAGTCTAGCCCCCTGCTCAAGCAGGAGAACGTATGACATTTCAGACAAATAGTTGTCCACTCTCTTCTTAAAAACTTCCAGTGTTAGAGCATTCACCACTTCTGGAGGCAGGTTGTTCCACTGGTTAATTGTTCTCACTGTAAGGACATTTCTCCTTACTTCCAGGTTGCTTCTCTCCTTGATTAGTTTCCATCCATTGCTTCTTGTCCTGCCTTCAGGTGCTTTGGAGAATAGCTTGATATTACCTAGCCAGGTAATAAAACCTCTGCAAGCAAACCATCAAGTCAAGAGAAGACCAGGCACTCCACAGCATTAGATTAAGTTACTTTCAATATGTCCCAAGTCCTGGGTAAAATCCTTTGCAAGTGTTGCTGGAAAACATTTTCAAGACGCCCTCAAAACAACTCTTTCTAGATCAATTTGGACAGTGGTGTTCTTTTTTCACTCTTTGGAATTCATTTCCCCCCTTTGTGTGTCCATGTGCACATGCCTGCATGGTCTATTTACCCGACATATATGGCACATAGATGCAGAGAGTTTCTGAAGCAGCAGTCTGAGCTTGGAAAAAAAGACCCAGCTGCTTTCATGTTCCTTCTCTGCTTTGACCTTAAAGTTGTATTATAAAGTACGTTGGAAACTCTGCCTTTAGTTTCGACAGGAATTTGGTACCTGCCAGTGGAGGCAGTGTCTGGGAAAGACCAGATTTGACGGTTGTTGACATTTCTTGGGTCCCGTCTCTCAACACTGGCAAGGAAGACTTTCTAGTTAACCTGAATGGTATGCCAATTTCTTCTTCTTATTAACTGTAAGACAGTCTTCCTGTCTAGAAAAACCAGAGAACT